AAAAAAAAAAAAAAAAGTAATTCCCCCCCCCCCCCCCCAGTAACGTCCAGTTCGAGACTAAAAAGCTACAGAAAGCAGAACTACTTCTACAGTTGTGTTTCGGAGCAGTTGAGTAAAATTATTTCAGTATATCAGTCTGATCTTGCAATGGCATTTAGGTGGATATAGTGGAGGCCACTGTTAAAGGCGACTGTCTTGGTTTTATCCCTTTCCTTCACAAAGCCGGTGCTAGCGCACTTGTAACAGCTCAGCTTTTTTGTTTTTTAATAGCTCCTGATTCAGCCTATCATACAGCAGAAAACCTGTCACACTCAGCATATAGGAGACATCATGAGCAGATATGAGCTTCCCTCTCCTTCAGTACCACTCCATATCTAGCTTAACTGAAGGTAACAATAAAACCTTAGCCCATCTCATTTACAGATAAGGAGAGTGTCACCCATGCTGTCAGACTTGCAGAACAGCAAAAGCTAGTTTCTTCATCTGTCAGGTTTCTAGCCATTTTTTGGTATTTCATTACTAAGAAGCAAGTGGTTACAAATTACTGCAGTAGCTTCCTAAAACATAACACGTACTCAAGAGAATCTATCAGTTTCCTGGGATCGACAGGAGGTGGATAAACTATTTCCTCAATGTGTTTTCGATTGCAATATGCATAGGCAGTTGAAACGTGCATGAACACTTCCAGATTCTTCATCCGCTGTGCCAAGAAGAGGAGCTGTTGTGTGGCAGCCACATTTAACTGAACAGCATCTCTGTTGATTAAACAGAAATTTGATTAGCAGAAAGCAAGACAAAAAAACAAGCAAAAAGAAATAATTATCAATTCATTCTTAAATGTCTCAGTGATGGGTATATAAAGTATTAGCAAATACTCCACCCTCCCCAAAGAAGCAGCATGGAATATCCTAACTTTCTGCTTAGAACAATATGCTGTAACCTTAATCTAGAATATCTCTCTATGTTCAGGATGATTTTCCTTATTATTCTTGGCATCCTCATCCTCCATTACTATAGTGGGAAAAGTCAGTACACCTTTGTTCTCCTCAAGTTAAATCCCAATCCTACACTTCTCATAAAATGTGAAGGAAATAATACACCACAACACCTAGATCCTGCATGAGATGTATCTCTGAACTTCCTAGCTCAAGTTGAGTTAGCCTTCCTTCTGAGTTGTTGACCTTACAGGGCTAGTAAGTTTGAGACTGGCATCTTCTTGTATGATAGCACGAGGCTCGAGAGGGAGGGAGGAAGGCAGGCAGGCAGGCAGGCAGGCAGGCAACCACCAAGAACCACACTTTCATCCTCCAACTTCACTGCTTTTCACTAAAAGAGAGTCCTTAAGGACACTGTAGGAGGTTAGGTGTATCTACAGTTCCCACCAGAACACAGCTTACTGACCAACCACTATGAGTATTTTGTAAAATTCACATATTCTCTCCAGCCTATAAAATTTACTATGGGCACTAGTTTTCTTGTACACAGTGTGCTAATCAACTAAGTTTCAAGAATATAGCTAAATAAAACTTTATCACAGTCTTTGTAATGAAGTATTACATTAACATAAAAAAATCTTGCCCCACCCCCTCCAAATACGAAGCAAGTTTAAGACTGCTTTATCACACATTATTACTGAAATGCTGGGGGGACAAGATATGGGGACCACTGTCCGAAAGCAGTTAACATAACTGGAAAATATTACTTCTGCTTCTGAATAAATCAGTTTGGGTTTTTTTAGATGAAAGTACTGTCCTCAGTCTTCACTGTCTCTTTCAAGAGCTCAAAGGAAGGAGTTCATAATCAAGAGCTGTATGCATCACTAAGATGTCACAGTGTATAGCAAGTAAAAATCAGGAAAACTTCCAAAATAAGCCAAACTGTTTTGTTTTCTTGACTTTATTCCTACCACTGGCCCCTAGCCAAGTATTTTGAATTTTATATTAGTTCTTCCTGTTAAACATCTGATGAAGGCTGCTCTAGGTGGTCTTCAGATGTAAGGTTTCTCCAACCATTCCAGCACATCTGCTAGGTGCTCTGTCCTCAACTCTTTCACAAAGAAATGCTCACATTTTCTGTTTGGCGAAACAACATACTGGGCCTACCAAGAAAATGGAAACTGCCAGAGGTTTTTATACCAACACTCCATTCCACCAGTCTTTCAAATTGTTTTGAAGTCCCTCTGGGATTTTGTCAGGTTGGCAGGTCCTTAACATTTCAAGACCATAACACAGTGATAAACACTGGCTACATTATGACATGTCAGCATACAGTATAACATTCTTAGAGAGGTAGAGCCAGCCTTTGTAACAACTAAAAAAAAAAAAAAATCCGAGTTGAGAAGTGTTTTGACTCAAAGTTGCTTTACTCCCTTCCCCCCCCCCAAAAAAAAACTGGAGCTATCCCTTGCAAAGCCATCTACCTAAACCGGATATTTATTCCCATGTTTCAACACTAAATCAAGTCACTGCTTTTGCCAAAAAGCAAATATAATTTTCTCTTACCTCTCGTATTCCTTTCTCTAGTATTTCCTTAATAGATTTTCTGTACAACAGAGAAGTTTTCAACTTTTAGTTTTCATCTTTCTTGAGCATCTGCTTTTCCCTACTGCCTCCAATGCAAACCTCTGTCCTTCTTAGTGTTAGACTTTATGAAGATGCAGAGAAAGCTCAGCAGTATTTAATCTCCCATTTGTTCACCAGGTAGACAGCAAGTGCTAGCACTTCCCCCAATTACAATTCTGCCAAAAAGATCCCCTGAAAACATGCATTCCGCTTCTAACAAGGAATGCTAAAGGAATAGTTTGTGTTCCCCTTCACACACTAGGAAAAAAGCTCTAATGTTACTAGTGAGCACAGTACGTATAGCTACAGCTTCTTCATATCCCTTCTACTCATCCCAGGGATCAGAGCAACACATGATGTCAGGAAGACTCATAATAGCAACATGTTCCCCAGCCTTTTCAACAGCTTCCCTTCAAAAAGGCTTTGAAATGCTGGCACAGGGATGTAGTTACAAAAAAAACGCAACCAAACAAAACAAACAAAAAACCCACAACCAACCAAAAAACCCAAACACCAACCGAACACACAAAACCTGAGGGTCCTATAGCAAAACTACAAGTATAATTTATTTAGTTTGTAAGTGTTAATAATGAATTTGTCTTTTTGCCTAAAGCTTTAAAAAGATATGAACATTTCCATGTCGAATAGTGTAATTCTAAACTCTGGCAAAGCAGGTCTAAATAATATGCCTCCATCTTCCTAAGAAGAGCAAATGAAAACCAAATAGCTTAAGGTAAGTTCAGAGGAAAAGATTATTACTTTAAGGGGCATCATGAAACTGATCAAACACACAAACACCAGAGCACATGAGGCAGCCTGGCAGGCTGAATATTTTTGGGCAGACATCTGATTTACCCCCTTCCCGTTGAGGGCCACCAGACCAGAGTACACAGAATTTTAGACTCACCTTAGTGTTTCATTGAATCTGACTGTGGCAGCACAATGAAATATAATATTAATGCATTCCATAAGTTTTTCCTTGATTGGTTCACTAAGGTCCAGTTCAGGCTGCGTAAGTTCACTCGTAATTACTATTATTTTTGCTTTGAAGTCTGGTTGCTCATCTCTCAACCTGTCGAAGAGCTGTCAAAAAAACAGGACTTAAAATTCAAACCAATAGCCAGTGAAGATGAGATACATTTTTCATTCAATTGAAGAAAACACCCACATTTTCTGCCTATATAGAGTTATACCTCCTTACTTTTCAAAATCATCAGTAAGTTTGAAAAATGTTTTAAGAAAATTACAACATGTTACTGACTTCCCATGGACATACTCAGCAATGAAGCTGTGCACACTTTATCCCACACAGCGAAAGCAGTATTGCATGTGTTATATAGAAGGTACAAAGACTTCAATTTGCACTTAAATTTTTTTTAATACTCATACCTATCCTTAAAACCTGATCTCTATCATCATCAGAAGAAAGAAGGAATGGTCTCTATTAGACAGCAGGACTCCAAGAAATTTTAAGTAGCAGTCTAAATACTGTAATCTCTTTTCTTTCAGCAGAAGGAAAGGAAAACTCTGCCCACTTCCTAAGCTTGACAATAACTACTCAATTCCTTACAGACTTGTACAAGTCACACCATTGTAGTTTTGTACTTTCTATCTGTCCTGCCCCTTTTCACATCCATAGCCATACATTATTCCTACATACCTTATACTACCACTAACCAGCACAAAGGGGAACAAAAACAAACACCTAGACCACATTCAGTACATAGCGCAAATTAACAAAGGAATTAGATATCTGAAGTCCAAAGAAGTAGAAACCTCAACATTTTTTGGCTATTTGCGACTCAGTTTATTTTGATTACCACATTCACCCATTTATATTTTAAACCCTTCAAGAAACAGAATGTCCAAGCATCTGAAGAACATTTAATGAGTCCATCAAAATTGCGAAAAGTTACTGGCAGGGCCCTTACAACTGGACGGCTTAAGACAACAGATCCTATTAAAAATTCTCATAGTCTTTTGGAAGAATCTTGATTATGTTAATACCAGTTAGACAAATTAGATCGAAAGTGTATTGTCTGACAGAACAAACATCTGGCCCTATCTACATCTCTGCAACACCATCCCTTTATGTTCTTACTCTAGGGACTAAGATGCAGGACTACCTCAAGCAGCAGTCCTGCTTACTAGGACTGGTAGTGAACCCATTCCAGCAGTAAGTGCTCACCAAGACTCATAAAACACATCAGATTATTATCTCAGCAGGAGCTGGTATAGACTATAAGCAAAAGATTTGGACTCAAATTTAAAAAGCCTTTCACAACACAGGAGTTTCCCCAAAAGCTACACTGCGGCTTCAGTCTTACTGAAATTTAAGTCAGCCCACACTACCTGTTACTCTCCTCCTTGCCTGAATATTCCACACTGTTTATTTGGGTAATAATATATACAACAAGGGGACCGAGAAGCTTTTCCTTTCTCATCTCAGAGTTTAGTCTGGAGACATTTTACTTGTTTCAGAGAGTGACAAACTGAGGGTTTTATGTAGGGAGAATTTGCGACTAGATTTAAGACAGAACTCTACTGTAACTTATTCTGTTGCACGCTGACATTGCACAGGACTGCAAGCATATGCTTTTGAGCTATAAGCTACAGTTTTGACATGGTTACAGAAAATAGTTTACTAGGGACACAGCCATCCTCAGGTCCGCTGTAATCTTAACTAGTCAGAGTCATAGAAATTCATTGCTTTAAACAGCTTACCCCTCCTAGCCTACATGCATTCATACTGTCTTCGTGATTCCCTTTAAACAACTTCTAAGCACACACTTTGTAGAGACCACACTGTATCTCAACATATTTCCTAAGCTCGAAAAATTAAACTGCCAACTCCCACATCCCATAAGAGAAAGACCTGGACAGAAATAAACTCTGCTTTGGCAAAGTTTGCACTAGAAATCTCTCCCCTTCCTGTTCATCCTTCTCATCATAGAGCAGATACTTTGTAGTAGAGAGATGGGCAACACTAACGGATGGCTCTGCATGTAGTAAGAATGCCCAGCCTAGTTCACCAGAATATTAAGGTAACGAGTCATTTCAGGAAGAAAGTAGCCAACCTAGCATGCACAGAAAATCATTTAGATAACCATTTTTGATAATTCCATGGCACAGAATTTCAGTGCCTTTCCTTTATTGTCACAGATTTATACTAATCTCCATGACTAACAGAAATCTGTAATAGAATCTATTACGACAAACACTTCTGTTTACAAACATAAGCTATTCAAACAACCTGTTCAGATCACATATTCTTGCTTGAGATCTAAAGAAGGGTCTCAATCTCATCTTACAAATCCCAGTCGACACTGCCTCTTGCACTTAAAACTTGTTAAAAGAATATGTAATTAACTTGGATGTTCTACTTCTTAATTCTGTATTACAGCTAAACAACCTACTCCTGAATTAAATACAGGATAATTTTCCACTACTGGCTTTGCTAGAGACTAACAGCTCAAAAACCATAAAAAACACTACCAGGTCTTAGGTTTTATATTTCTGTTAGAATGAAACAAACATTTAATAACAATGTTTTTGCTTTAGACAAATCAAAGCTGTTCTCAAAATGAAATGGGAATGTTATAAAGAAGGACACAAATGTACTTTGCGAACATATGACACATACCTTACAGCTGGTAATCTCTTCTATTCGTGCTTCAGGTGTCTGCCCTGCTTTGTGTCTTACCAATACATACACTGCTTTCACTTTAGGACAAGATCTGAGCAGCTTTTCCAGAAGCACTTTTCCCATGAAGCCTGTAGCTCCTGTCAGGAGGATGTTCTTTCCTTCATAGTATTCAGGGATGGAAACCATTATGACCTTAACAGAAGTTAAAAATAGAAGTATATTAAAGAACTTCTAGGAGTTCACATTTGCAGAAGATATATGGAAATGGCACAGATTCAAACATTCAATCTCATGCCTGAAAAAAATGCTTAACAGCCGTTTTTCACCTACCACCAGTACTTAAAGACGATTTATTTCACCACATTCCAGAATAATCCCACAGGGCCACTAGCCATCCCAGATCTTCTTGTAAACTGGCCCTGTTAATATAGTGTCTTAAGGAATTAAGACTCCCTCTCAGTCTAGGAAAATAGTTCAACCTCAGTCTATTTTTACCTTTATGTGCATGGTCCTTTACCACTTTGAGTGGCTGTTCCATGTAAACTAAAGGTCGTGTCATTTAAATATAATGACAAGTAGACACTTCAAATACTTTGACAGAAGACAGGGAGCCAGGCATCTGCCAATTGCTGGCCCTGGTATTTTGCCTGTGTCAGCAAAGTCCCCTGTCTGCATTAGGCTTAGCCTTCCTACAAATTATGCTAAGCCAGAGAGAAGGTATAGTTAGTTTCTTGGTACGAGATCTGCTGGTTTTATATCTATTGCAAAACAACATACAGTTCTACAGATGATACAGGCTTCCAGCCTTTCCATCTATTAAGTTTGTTGGGTTTTTTCCCCTCCCAAATAAGCAATTAGAATTCTCACACAAACTAATAATTTCAGTTAGCCACAAATACACCTCCCAGTAAAATGAAGGGTAAGTGATTGTTACTTAAATCCAGAACAAAGCTCTAAAGCACTGCAGGTTTTGCTTCAGATATGAAGTTAACTATGAAAATTACTATTTATTTCCTCTCCCTTAATCAACCACTTTGAAATCATGTCTAGTTCGAGATAATGGAAATTGAAACTTTTTAAGGGCAAATATACTGCAATCTCTCACACTAATGTGGTCTTTGGACTATGACCTTTATGACCTTTAGAACCCGTGCCTCAGGATAACTTCAAGCCATTCTGTTAAGTCCAATATACCAACATATTTACTTTAACCCTTAAACAGCTTGCTTTTACTGTAGAAGACTATAGCATGTGGCTACATTTCCACTATGTTTTACCAATCTTTCTAATTAGAGACTTATAAAAATAGTAAGCTGGTGTAGTGAAAGTCCAGTTATAGTCTCCTATAACAGATACACAAACAGACCATTATGACAAAAACACTACCAAAAAGAGACAGATTCCATAAATCCATTATACTAAAAAAACACAACAAAAAGTCTCCTTAAAAACAGATGGAGTGTTTCTTAAGCAAGTAAGAATTACAACATCCTAAGCAGGATGAGACCCTTTCTTCACCTACCACCCACCAAGAATAAAAGGAATGCAACTTGTAAATATGCTTAGTTCTTTTGAAACAGCAGGCTACCGCAAGCATGAACTCACCAGGCAATACACAAGATGTTGTATATTAGGAGTGAGCAACTACAGTCTTAATTCGCGCTTTTTGCCTGAAAAGTAAGTAAATATTTTTTGAATGCTTGTCTACATCTCAGGCACCTGTCACATTAAAGCAATTGGCTGTGCTTTTCATGTTCTCATATCATGCTGAAGTCTCTGAACAAGCTCTAAATGATTACTTGCCAGAAATGAGTTATCACCTGCACAATCCCCAGTTTTTGGAGTCTGGGTACAAAGTCTTACTTTTGGTCCAAGACTCCAAATCCTATTTAGACTCCCTTCTTTGACAAGGGTAGCTCCTGCACTTATTAGTGAAGCATCTAAAAACTGATAATAGGACACAGCAGCAAGTTTAGAACACAACAAACACTACTACTTCCACTGGCCACAGTACATCATCCCAAATTGCTTTTTTGAAGTCTGAGGAGATTGAAAGAGGTGGATGGAAGGAAAAGGCTACTTGCATTAAACCACTTTCACCACATACTTAAGAGACTTTAATGCAAATTTCAAAGCATACCTCCTGTAGTAAAGCATGAAGAGCAAGATACAGCATGCTTGTGAGTAATAATTTCCTGTTCATTGTAAGATACAGGTCTATTTTCTTCACTGTGGCTCTGGAAGTCACAATTAATGCTCTCGCTATTCAAGTACGTCCTTCGCATAACTTTTATTTTCCTAGTCTTTACATACACCATTCAACTCCATCTCCTCCTAAGAACCTCCATGCTTGCTCCCACATACAGGGTAAGACTTTCATTCCCTCAAAGAGCGAAAACTCATGCAATCATTACCATACCAGTTTTGTGACCAAAATTCAAGTTTTGTTATGGTTCCTACATAATCTTGTTACTAATTTACCTGCCTAGCCATCATTAATATTTTTTATCCCTTAAGACTCTATACTAGTACTTTAACACTGTCTGTTCACTTGCCCTTCCTCAAAGGAAGGCTTAATACTACTTCTGCCAATGTTGTATCCTCAGTCTGCAAACCTGTTCACTTGGCAGAGGCAGCCTTTGGCTATGCAAACACAGGAACCTTGCTACAACACCCAATACAGGGGCTACAGTCCAACATCTGTTTCTGAAAAGCCAAACAGTGAAAAGAGTTATACTGTCAGTGGAAAAATCTGTGTTGCTATGGTCCAGCTTTTTAGCCAACTGAAAAATCTGAGAATATTTACAATCATACAATGTAAAGAAAACTAGAAGCCAGAATAAATCAGAAAATTTCCCACCTCAGTTATTTCTGACCATACTCCTTTGAGTATGAGGTTGGTATCAGATAAAAAATAATTAAGTTACTCTCCTGAAACTCTTACAGAAACTCTTACGGAATACCAGACGTACCAAACATCCAGATCCAAAGCTATGATTAAGTACAGTGATGAAAAGGGTTCAGTTAAAAAAAAAATAAAAAAAAAACCAGAACACATGAACGTACATACTCACATTCACATTCGAGAGGCAGCAACACCTATATGTTTGCAAGCTTTTTTTTTTTTTTTTAAAAAAAAAAAATAGTATTGACAGAAGCATTTCCTTTGAGAAATTCTCAACACCACTTCCCTTTACTCTGTTCTCTGACAATTAGCCTCTGGTAGACTTAATTCATAGCCATTTTCCACAGTAAGTTTGCCTTCTACTTCCATACCTCTAGAAGATTCCAGCTGGGAAACAGAATTGGTGATGTTTTCAGAAGTATACATTGTTGCCAACGTTACAGCAATAAACACTGGGATTGTGAACAAATTGCCTAGAAGCATCAAATATGAATTAAGGGTAAAAATCATGTATGGAATCTAGGTGTGAAGGAACAAAGTCTGAAATCGACACCCTATGTTTAACCTTTCTGTCCAGTAGGGCAATCTCAGCTGCAGGAATGGTAAAGAGTGTCCCCATTCTTCACCTACCTTTCCCTGCCTTCTCTGAGAATGTATCTCCACATGCCAGTTAGCATAGCATCTCCTAATTTCAAGTTCAGAAGGGACTTCTCATAGGTATAATGTAATATATTACCTGTGTTATCTTACAGAGTTCTTTATGGCAGCAAATTACTGAGGAACTACATCATAATTGTGGTTTTTAAAAGAAGAGTTAAGAAATAGATTTAGTTCCCAGCAGAAATCTAGTTTGACCTCTAACACATAACAAGCTGGAGCAGATCCAGAAAAAATACCTACCTTGCAAGACAGCATAGCAAAAGCAAATGTGGTATTTTAATGCTGATATTTAAGTGTCAGCAGTCATTTTATCTAGTTTTAGAGTGCAACTTGCTGCATGTTTGCAATAGCTGAATTGTAGCTATTAACCAGCAATACGTATTTTCACCAGTTATCCAATGGCTTGTTTACAGCTACCTCTTCAAACACACAGACAGATAATGTCTATCAACATAAAATTGTCTAATGCACACTTTGGAACATCCGAAACCCTGTATCACAGCTACTTCAAGCTACTAAGTAATAACAGTCAAGAAAAAGAAATCTGAGTGTTGAAAGGATTAATAGTAGTTCTGTAAACGATTTTTGCTCTAGAATAGGGGTGATCAAAATCATCAGATAACTTGTAGGGATGAACAGCTTTTGGTGGAAGAAACTTCCCTTATGCTGCTACAGAGAAACTGATGCTAGGATACTGATGAATTCACAGGTTAAGGGCTAAACCAACAGTGGCACTTTGAAGATATTACTTATCTGAAGGGTGCTGTCCTTTGATAAACTAAGAGCTCCTAAGCACTTCAGCAAGAAAAACCCGTTGTCCAGGATCCCAGCCAACATTCCCCATCTTGTAAAAAATGCTAGCGTCCAAGGCTGAGCAAGTGCTACTATGGAACAAACAACGGCAGCTCTGTTTGCCTTCAGAGATACTGCAGCAATATTTAACTCATTGCTTCAAACACAGGTCTGACTCTTAAAAGAGAGACAATTCTGTTTTTAATGGGAAAAAGATGAATTCTCAGATTCGTTCAAACACAGATTAAGATGTTTAAAGACTTGCTTTACAAGTGCCGGGAAAAACTGCTGCAGTTCTACTGAATGTTTAAAAGCTAACACCAGTAACTAGACAAGACTATTGTTGTGGTTTAGCCCCAGGCGGCAACAACCACGCAGCTGCTCACTCACTCCTCCCTCCCCAGTGGGACAGGGAGGAGAACCAGAAGGAAAAAGGCAAAACTAGTGGGTTGGGATAAAGACAGTTCAACAGAACAGCAGAGGAAAAGGAAAAAACACAACAATAACACTGATAAAAAGAAAATACAAAGCAAGGGATACACAATGCAATTCTCACTGCCTGCTGCCCAGCCCGCTCCTGAGCGGCGATCCCCTCCACCAGCCAGCTCTCCCAGTTTATATACTGAGCATGAGGTCATGTGGTATCAAATATCCCTTTGCCTAGTTTGGGTCAGCTGTCCTGGCTGCATCCCCTCTCAGCTTCCTGTGAAAAGTAACACTATCCCAGCCAAAACCATGACATTATCTACTCCTTATTCTATACCAACTACATCACGCCCAGATCCTACACTTCCCAATTAACCACCATTACTTTTCCTGTCTTTGAGATTA